GAGAGAGAGAGAGAGAGAGAGAGAGAGAGAGGAGAGAGAGAGAGAGAAAGAGGGAACGAGAGACTTGACTTACCTAAGTGGGCTTGGCAGCCATCGCCGCCCAAGCATGCGTACAGGAGACTACTTGCGCACTACTTGTGCACGACAATCTTCGAGTAATTTCCAACGAGTTCTCACATCGTGTCTGTGCGCTTCTTGTGTCCACAAAAGGTTGGGCATGATGAGGAGTGCACGACAATCTTCGAGTAATTTCCAACGAGTTCTCACCTCATGTCTGTGCGCTTCTTGTGTCCACAAAAAGGTTGGAATGGGCATGATGAGGAGTGCACGACAATCTTCGAGTAATTTCCAACGAGTTCTCACCTCATGTCTGTGCGCTTCTTGTGTCCACAAAAAGGTTGGACATGATGAGTGCATCCTTTTGAAACACCCATGAGCTGTTGGAATACAGACCTGAGTACGAATCAGAATGGGAACAAGATGGCTGAAATCAAATACTGCCTGTGGGACACCAGGACGTGGTGGCCCGTGGGTAAAACCGTCGGATAAGCAGTTGTGTTGGATGGGAGCGGAGTGTGCAACTATTTCCAATGTGGTGGAGTGTCTTGTGTGTGTGTGTGTGTGTGTGTGTGTGTGTGTGTGTGTGTGTGTGTGTGTGTTTGTGTGTGTGTGTGTGTGTGTGTGTGTTTTAAATTTGCACCACAGCAGCAGCCCATATTCCACCCAGACGAGTAGATTCGAGTTGAGCCAGCCCAACAATTAAAGAACTTCTGAATTTCACCTCTTGAGCAAGTGAAAGGCCTTTCACAATTCAGACCCCAAATTCGGATCTCAAGGCCAGAGGCCCAGGTCAAGAAAAGGCCGAGTTCGTCAAACTCAGAAAAATCTTAATCGGGTACCTCAGCAGTCTGGACCAATAGGCACCCAGCAAACAGTCACGTCTCAAGGACAAGAGGCACGTCACAGAATAAAAGCCATTCAGAAGAGTCACATTCCACGAGTCGCATTCCACGAGTAAAAAGGCAGAATTACAAAGGCAGGAGTCACGTTTCCTAATGAAAAAGTCATATTGAGGAGTCACATCCGTCGAAGGCAGTATCACAGACAAAAGTCGTGACCCACAGGCAGGAGTCACTATCCACAGTCAAAAGTCATGTTCACAAGTGAAAGGCCATGACTCAAAAGGCCCAAGCAGAAACAAACCATTGGAAATTCGGGAAGGTTCCGGGCCTTGACATTCAGAAGCAGACAGGCCGTGGGCATGTGGTACCGGAACCAGTCAGGACACAATAAACAGAGGCTGGCACGAGTTGAAGTGCAAACCAAGACTACAAAAGGACTGGCCAGCCTCACATTCGGGCAGATTGCTCATTCGCAAGAAGTGTGGTAAGTGCTGGTGCACTTGTGCGCTGAAGTGAGGAGCAGAGCGCTGAGGCCGGAGTGCTGCGCTAAGTGAGCGAGAGAGAGGAAGAGAGCACTGGCAGGGAGAAGGCAGCCATAGCTGCGCCAGCGCAGAAGTGTTAGTGTGCTAGTTGTTAGTGGTAGACTCCGGAGGGGTTAGTAGAATTGACAGTGGGTGTATTCAGAGTAGATCCATGAAGTAGTAGATAGTGAGTGTGAATGCATGTAGGGAGAGAAGACACAGCGAAGGACATAGCTAGAGAGAATAACAGCAAGGTGGAGAGAAACCTAAGAGGGAAGAGCAGAGGGGAAGAGATAATTACCTGAGAGTTTGTGCTGATTATTGGTTACCTATTGGCACGCGCTGATGAGCACTGGTGACTTGAACTCTTATTGCTCTCGTAATACTTTCTGGAAAAGATAAGCTGCGCTACCTGGTCTTCATCTCTCTGGACTCCAGTGTGAACTCGTACATGCATATGGTGTGAATATGTGCACTCATTGGTGTTAGCAATATGTGTGTGTCTGTGTGGATTGAAGAGCACTACAGCCATACAGGGGTGAGGCGGAGATATCACGACCGGCATGGATCCACTTTTGTACACTGTGCCATGGCCGTAGTGGTTAAGAAACTCACCTCTTGACGCTGAGGGCGCGGATTCGAATCTGCGCGCGCGCCGCACACGGAGGAGGTGCTGCAGCTGAAAATGTGCAGATATTTTTGCCCTTTTAAAAAGAAAAAAGGGGGGAAACAAACTTCGAAAAGGAGGAAACCAAGGAGAAAAGGATCGTGTGGGGGAAGCCGTATGTGAAGTAAGGGATCATTGCATTATCCTGCTTTTTTCCTTTTTTTTTCTCTTTTTTTTTTTTTTTGCAGAATCCCGTGCCGGTCTGCTAGCTGAGGTGGTATGAGCATCCCCCTCTATCCGCACCCGCTGTGGGCAGCTGCAGTCTATTGGTGGTGAGCAGCACCTGCTGGAACCGGGTCCAGCGTTGCAGGAACATCTATGTGTCTCCGAAGGGGCAAAAAAAAAAAAAAAAAAAACATTACCGGGGCCGCTACCCTGCTTCGGCTGCACTCAAGAGTCAAGTCAGTCCGCGGGGTCTCCACCTGCTCTTCAACCTGCTGCCAGCCTGATACTCTGCAATATCCCAAGCTGTGGCTCTGCTTAATCCGCTTCATACCACCATGGAGGGTCAACGGGGCGGAAAGGGACCAGGGAACTCCGATGGGGGACGCAGCGGAACCGCGGGACGCAGCGGAACCGCCAGGTCCAGTGCTCGAAACAGATGGTGTAGTCTCTCCTGAACTCATAATGACTGTGCTCCGGGAGGAGACCGCCTTCCCATCAAATGATTATATGAGCCATCCAGCCCCCCTGCTCATTCTCCAGCCATTCTCCAGAGAATTGCCTTTTTTTTTAATTATTATTATTTTCTTTTTAATGAAGTGGTGAGACCACCGCACTACAAGACATCCCTCCTTCCTCCTTCCTTTTTCTTCCTTTCCTTCTTTCTTAAATCCTCTCTACGCTTTGCGGTCTTTGAGATATCCTCATCGAACCGGCTGGCCCTAGGTAATTAAGAATTGTGATATTTTAACATATTTAAATTACATTAGATATCCTCATTGAACCAACTGACCCTAGGTCTTGAGATATTTACACACACACACACAAAGGGGGTCCGAAAGGGGGTCCGCAATCCCCCGACAGGTGAGTGCGCTTGGGGGGCCCAGCCCCCAACCAGGTGCCCTGCCCGGCCAGGCCGCCTGGGACCTCCCCCGGGCCCCTGCCGGTCACCCGGGCGGCCCGGATCCCCACACAGTTATTATTATTATTATTATTATTTTTATAAATCAAACCCGTGTCCTCGCTAGGAAGGCCAGAGAATTGTTTAATTGCTTGTGTTATGTTTCTTTTTTTTCCCATACTGAACAGATCCACCTGGGTTTCGACTTTCTGCCACCGTGTCGTGAGTCCCACCGAATGTGTTGTTTAATCACTTCTGGAATTTCATCTCCCTTTGTGCGGCGTGGTAACTGGCAGGATCAAGACAGTCCGCCTGTCTGGCTCCGGGTATGGGATCTGGTCCGGTAGGTCTGGAAAGGTCCCCCGCCCCTTTGTCAAAAAATCGATTTTCTTTTAGGGCGCGCCTAGAGAAATGAGCCAAGTACTCGTCCAGTTCAACCTCGCATACATCAATGAACATTTTTTTTTTTTTAATTCTTATTCAAAAAAATATACATTCACACGAGAGATCACACGTAAGAAGCCAAATCGAGATACAATCAACACTGGAAGATGTCGTCCCCAATATTATTATCACTATACAACAATGTTCGTCTCCAGCGGCTCTACTGCACATCCGCACACACAGCGGATCTCAATCAAGTGCCGGCTATGGCTTCTCTCTCTTCCTTCTCACTCTCTCTCTCTCTCTCTCTCTCTCTCTCGTCTCGCTTCTCTCTCTCTCTCTCTCTCTCTCTCTCTCTCTCTCTCTCTCTCCCTCTCTCTCTCTCTCTCTCCGTCAGGACTTTTCTTTGGTGGCTTCAGAAAATCTGCAATCTCTTCCTCTCTGATGTGCCCATCCCGTCTCCAGCGGCTCTACTGCACACCCACACACACAGCGGATCTCAATCAGGTGCCAGCTGTGGCTTCTCTCTTCCCTCTCACTTTCTCTCTCTCGTCTCAATTCTCTCTCTGACTTGACTCGCTCTGCGTCTCTCTCTCTCTCTCTCTCTCTCTCTCTCTCTCTCTCTCTCTCTCTCTCTCTCTCTCTCTCTCTCTCTCTCTCTCCGTCCATCAGACTTTTCTTTGGTAGCTTCAGAAAATCTGCAATCTCTTCCTCTCTGATGTGTCTGTCCCGCTGAGAGCATCTTGAAGTGCATGATGCTAATCCTGATCCTGATCCTGATCCTGACTCTGACTATTTAAAATTTATATTCAACAGAATCAAAGCCTTCTGAAAAAGAAAAAGACGCAAAGTAAAGAGCGAGTGATGAAGTATAATACTACAGTCATGGTATGCGGTCAAATAGAGAGCACGTGCACAAATAAGGTCGCACTCACACTACCACATTTTCCCCCGAATAGAAGGTACGGTCGTTATAGCTGTATTTGGGGTATGTTACAGTCTAAATACAGCTATTGCAAGGAAAATGAGCAATAGCAAGATAACAAAATCCAGATTGCACAATCACATTAAAAGCCAGAAAGTATCCCAGTGTCCAGAAAGCAGCATTGCACCAATAAAACACCAATGGAGAATCGTAACACTGAAAACCGAATGTCAAATGAGAGCTTGCTCTCGTCATCACCAACATAAGTATCCAGGCCCTTCCCCCTGCTTGGCGCTCGGCGCCCAGCCTACTCCCTACACAGCTACTATCTGCCTACTAATTGACAATGCAACTGTTGATGTTGGCAGCCACCGAAGTACTTGAAGATGTCGCCCAATGCAGACTATCGCCAGTACCAGGTATGTGCCCTCACATCATCATCATCATCCTCTCTCTCTCTCTCTCTCTCTCTCTCTCTCTCTCTCTCTCTCTCTCTCTCTCTCTCTCTCTCTCTCTCTCTCTCTCTCTCGACTTTCACCCACGTCTTCATCTGTACACCTGCAGACCACCCTGCGCCCTGCTGTACAATCAAGCCTCAGCCAGCTATGGAGGCTGGGATATGGCGCTGCCCTCAGCAACGCCCTTTCCCGTACACGACTGCACGTGCGTAGCACCTTGCCTTAGCGCAGCCAGCAGCCCGCGAGACTTCGCTCCAGCAGCGCTGCCGCTCGCATGCAAGTGCCCGAATGAGCTCTTTCCTATATGTTAGAGTTCTGGCCAGGCCTGCAGCTTGGCTGGGCTGGGCCTGCGCCCAGACGTTTCCGCTAACCCGATTTGCCCGGTGGCTGGGCCTCTGCTGCAGCTGCTGGGCCTCGTTCGGTTGGGCCTTCCAACTGTCTGTGTATGTTGCTGCGAATCCTGCCCAGGGCCTGCATTTCAGAAAGGTCGGGAAGGCCGTGGAAAATCTTTGCTGCTCGGGGCCTGGGCTCCCTCAACCAACTGACACGACACAACTGCCTGAGCCCCAAATACGAAATTGACAGCATAGGGCCTCTCATGATTTGTTAGGCCCGCCTTAAACCACCAGTACTTGGCCCAGCTATCAATGCCGAGCCTGGAATGCCCCTGCGTGCCGATTTTCGCCGAAGCGCCGGTGTACCGTTTCAAAAAAAAATTTGCTGGCGCTTCCAGCCATTGTGGTCCGGTATCCCGAAGCCCTAAAGGCGCGCGCGTATACGGGAAAGCGCCACGGCCGATAGCTGGGCCAAGTACTGGTGGTTTAAGGGGGGCACATCTGTATCAGGGGCCCCTTAGGTCGGGCGAGGAACCAAGTCCTCGCACTATAATGACGGTGCGTTTTATTCGGGGGAAGAAGGTAGTGGTCAGATTCATCCTGCACCCAGCCATAATTACAGTCAAATACATTCAGGAAAGTATAAGTGTGAGTATGCCCTAATATGGAATATATATTATACTAAAATTCAGAAACATGCTAAATGGTTTTAAACCATGATCCATAGACCCTCGCGCCGTTCCTTTTTCTGCACGGAGGTGTGTGTATGGTGTTTCATAGTCGAAAGCTTCAAGCTCAATTGCTACCGTCCGTTTTCACCTGAATACAATATATGGTCAATATTCCTGTATCTAGACTCAAAGTTGCCCCAAATACATCAAGCTATAATGACCGTACGTTGAATTTGGGTGAAGACGGTCGTAATAGTTGTAAATAATGTGACCGAGAGCTGGCCCGCATGCGAAAAAAATGCAAGAGAGGAGTTCATGGCACCTTTATGCACATAAGACCTCGCTCCACTCCCCTACATTTTACACGTATCTGGACAGAAACACTGACTATATGCATTTGGGACTGATCCAACATTTCGAATGCATTTGGACCATCATTTGCTCCATATTCATTTACAAGCTTCTGCAGTGCTTGCTCACCTTCGGTAACGATACATACTCTCCCATCCATCTGCAGCTCGACAATATCCTTCTTCCGGTTGATGATCTCGTACACAAAAAAAAACTTGAAGGATTACATGTGATTGGAACACTTTGGACAGAACCACTGACTAGATGCATCTGACTGATCGAAGATTTCGAATCCATCGGGACCGTTGTTTAGCTCCATACACATTTTTACGAGCTTGTGCAGTCGTTTTCTCACCTTCGCTAACGATACATACTCTCCCATCTGCAGCTTCACAATATCTTTCTTCCGGTCGATGATCTCCAGAGTGCCGTCGTCGTTCCATTGCCCGATATCGCCCGAATAGAACCACCTAATGCCGTCCTCATCAACCTGGTACACTCATGCCATGAAAGCGAAACGACAACAAGCAATGACCACCTCATCACCAACCTCCTGCAGTAAGGCATTTGTTTTCCATACTTTCCAACGACAACAACGCCGGGCACAACCACAACAACAACCACCTTTTCGGACTTTTTCCCTTCTTCAAATTATAATAATTTAATTATAATTATTATCCCCACCCCCACAAGAACGAAACCAGGCACAATGATGGCATAGGCACCACAACAACAATTACCCCCTTTTAGACTTTTTTACTTGTTCACATTATCCCTAAACCCCATCAGTAATGACGCCAAACAACAACGACCACCACAACAACAACGACCACGACAACCGCCATAACCAAAACCACCACCACCACCACATCGAAACAACGACAATGGTACCGACAATAACAACGAAACCACCCACCACCACCACTACCACAACGACCAAATTAAAAAAAAAAAAACTGCGGCAACGACACATCAACGACAACATCAACGACGCAAATCACCGTACCTTGTAGACTTCCTCAGTCTTCTCAGGATTGTTGAAGTAGCCCATTGTGACAGAGGGACCACCAATGCAAACTTCGCCACGCGGCTTTGGCTTGTCAGTTGTTCTGTAGTTTCCTTCTTCCCAGTCGATGAGCTTCGCGAGTCAAAGAAAGACAGACATGCATGGCACTTAAAATTGTCAGCTGCTTGTAAACAACGGAATGTCAAACCGCACAGAGCCTCAGAGATAAAAAAAAAATAAAAAAAATTCCAAGTTCAAACCTGCATAGCATCATGTTCGCATTCGTTGACCCGAGCACCAAAACCGTCCGAACGCGAACATAAAAAAAAAAAAAAAAAAAAAAAAGTTTCTCCGATAAATCTGAAATATATATACGTTATGTAAAATAATAATACAAACAACTTTTGCCTGGGAGGCATGTTCAAATTCTCAGCAAAAGCCAGTTAAAGATCAAAAACCAAACAAATAAATAAATAATAAATAAACTAAAAAAAACTATCGTCAACCAAACGGAGGCTTTCGGCTACGCAGGTTCAAACAAGCAAGCAGCATCGGTGCCATAGACGAAAAACAAATTTCAAGGCAAGAATGGAACTAAG